TCGGGTATTTTGTTTTGGCCCCCTTAATGTTGTTAGGGAATTTTTTTCCTTTTAAAGCGATGGCAAAAGAGCCTTGGGGAGCGTGTGAGCATAAATATCAAACATACGCCACCTGGTTTGTTTTGGGACAATATTTTTTTTCTTTTGGAGGGGAATTTGGGAAATTCAGTAGATTCTAAAAAGATTTTAAAAATATTAAAATAAATTTTGTGTGATTGGGAGGTTTTTTTGATCGTTTTGAATTTGGGAGCGTATGAGTACTGTCGTTCATCATACGCCACCATAGATAATTTAAAATGATATATTTTCGGTCGGGCCGAACTTTAAATACCCTCAAAAAATTGGAAGAAACTTGCAGAATTTATAAAATCCGTTGTTCTATTAAGGTGTCATTTTAAGAATTTCGAATATCTGGGATTACAGTTATATGGGGTTATACGAAGACATGAAACTTTAAAGTTAATAATTTGCCAGAGAAGGTGCTGTACAGGAGAAGGTGGATCTGTACAGGAAATCTTCTGTCATAGGAGGTAGCATTTATTACGAACTTCAAATACCATATTCGAAACAATTCCGGTGAAATATGATTTTTTTGGATTTTATAATTCTTTTGATTATTCAAAACTTTGAACCTTTGTGTAGGAGGTGCCAGAAGGAAGGATCCGATCTCTACCATCTTTATAACAGATCTTGTGTTGATGGAAATATTAAGATTTGCCAAGTCTGAATGGAATCGGATGTTAATTTCGTGTTTTATGAGCTTCATGGTAATTCAAAATTTTGATCCTTTGTGGGGGAGGTACCAGAAGGAGTGAACCGATATATTCCATCTTCACGCCAGATCTTGTGTTAGTAAAAATTATGACATGTGTGAAATTTGAAGAGTATCGGAGCATTTTTCCGATTTTATAATCGTTTTGGTTATTCAAAACTTTGACCCTTTGTGGGGCAGGTACCAGAAGGGATGGTCCGAACTTTTTCGTATTTATAACAAATCTTGTGTTGATGGAAATATTGAGATCTACCAAGTCTGAAAGGAATCGGATATTCATATCGACTTTTTATGAGCTTTACTGATATTCAAAATTTTGACCCTCTGTGGGGGAGGTACCAGAAGGAGTGTACCGATATATCCCGTCTTCACAGCATATCTTGTGCTAGTAAAAATTATGACATGTGTGAAATTTGAAGTGAATCGGAGCATTTTCTCGGATTTTATAATCGTTTTGGTTTTTCTAAATTTTAACCCTTTGTGGGGGAGGTACCAGAAGGAATGGTCCGATATCTACTATTTTTATAACAGATCTTGTGTTGATGTAAATATTGAGATGTGCCAAGTCTGAACGGAATCAGGTGCCAATTTCGCTTTTTATAAGCTTCATGGATATTCAAAATTTTGGCCCTTTATGGGGGAGGTACTAGAAGGAGTGGACCGATCTTTTCCATATTCACATCAGACCTTAGGTTTATAGAAATATTGTGATGTGTGTAATTTGAGGACATTCGGACACTTATTTCACAATTTATAAGAGTTAAAATTATACAAAATTTTGATCTTTTGTGGGGGCGGTACTTGATGGAGTGAACCGATATTGCCCATTTTCGCACCTAAACTGATGAAAATATAACGATTTGCAAAGTTAGAGCAAAATCGGGTTGTTCTTTTTCTTTCTGTGCAGTAAATAGTTTTCTTTGAAAATATTGACATTTTGTGGGGGAGGTACCAAAAGGAGTGGACCGATATTGCCCATTTCAGAACTCGATCTAAGTTTGATAATAATATTAAGATGTACTAAGTTTGGAAGAAATCGGATAATCCCTTCTAGAGTTATCGTGCACTGAAGTTAGCCAGGCAGCCAGCCAGCCAGACTGGCGGACGGACATCGCTAAATCGACTCCAAAAGTCCTGAAACGAATTTTATCCAAAGAGACCTAGGGTCTAAAACCGTTATTTCGATGAGACATGTTTTGGCCGTATCAAAGGTTATATACCCTCCGTAGTCATATGGCTGAGGCTATAAGCAACCAAAAGTCCTTAAAACTGCCGGTATGATTATATGGGAACTATACCAAAACTTGGATCTACTTGGCCCATTTTCGATACCTAAAAATCGGACAGACCTAAAACAAATCTGAGTAAAATTTTATCAATATACCCCACTTCGTTCGGAAGCTAGAGTGATTTCCTCAGACAGATAGCAAATTGTGTGAAGCCCCTTAAAGTATGTTATAAAAATGCTTTAGCAAAATAATATCTTTACATATGACTCTAACATTATGTGCATGCTAACCTCAGGCATTGGCAAACAATATATGCTCCTCGATATTTTTTGAAGATGGAGTTTTTTTTTGATTTATTTGATTGTAGCCTAAAAACATTTGCCTGATTTGCAAACAAATTAGGACCAAACTCTTTATGTCTTTTAAAACTGTTAAGGGCTACCTCCGAGGACCACTGCCTAACGATGTATTGTTTGTAGACTGGATTATATATCTGTTTTCTTATTCCTTAAAACACTTTTATGCGATTTTCTGAGTTTTACCATTGGAGCGTATAACTACTGGCGTAAATCATACGCCGGCTCTACTTTATTTAAATATTTTTTAAATTTTCCTTGAAATTTCTTCTTTTCTCTCCTCTATTATTTAATTTTGTGTTTTTATTTTTTGGAATAGCAATTAACTTGTTGAAATCAGACTTTATTTGTCAAAGAAAAAAAGGAAACACACAAAAAAACCTCAGCAAAAAAAAAAACCCCACAACAGCTGCCAACATCATTATCATCGTAAACATTATTATGATTTTTACTTCGGCTAGCATGATAATAGTGTTCCTATTTTTTTTCTATCATCATTATGTCGTACTGTACTATGTGCCAATACATCGGGATTTGATTTCATTTTTTTTTTGTATTTATGGCCACATCATAATACTCCAAGCACGAAAGTGAAATCTTTTGCTGAAAATATGAAATAGTTTTTTTATTTCTGAGGGGAAAGAGAAAATTCTTTTGGAAAAGAGAAGATAAAAGAGAGAATATTTCAAGAGAAGGATAAAAATACTTATTAAGAGCTTTTCAATTCTGTGTTGTTTTAATATAGGGTTGCCAACGGAGGGTTAATACATTTGGTGATTTTTTTGTTCGAATTGGCTTTGAGTTTTTTAATAGAAAAAACACAATTTTAAATATGTTTTTTGCAATTTTGAATTTTTCTCAAATTTTTTTATAATTTTTTATGGAAATAAAATATATATGGAAAACTTATTTAGAATTGTGGTTTGCTTTCGCAATTACTTTCTTGTCGTCTATAAGAAACTGACCCTTTAATTTATGGAATTTGGCAGGGAAATATATTTAATGGTATTTCCATTGGATTTTGTGGCGTATAAGTATTGACCTCAATCATACGCTACCTCATATGTGACACATTTTTTATTCAAATTAAAAGGAGTTTTCATTTTTTATAAAAGGGAGGGTATTCAAAGTTCGACCTGGCCGAAGTTACTGCTTTTTTACTTGTATTTCTTTTATACCCTCCACAATACTATGGAGGGTATATTAATTTTGTCATTCCGTTTGTAACTCCTCGAAATACTCATGTTAGACCAAACAAAGTATATATATTCTTGATCAGCGTAAAATTCTAAGTCGATTCAGCCATGTCCGTCTGTCTGTCTGTCCGTCTGTCTGTCTGTCTGTCTGTCCGTCTGTCTGTCTGTCTGTTGTAATCACGCTATCTTTCGAACGAATTGAGATAGAAGGCTAAAATTTTGCACACCTGTTTATTTTTCCAGTAGGCAGGTTAAGTTCGTAAATGGGCCATGTAGGTCCACGTTTTCATATAGCCCCCATATAACGGTACCTCCCGATATTCGGTATTTTGATGATTTTAGCGACATTATTCACCGGAATTGTTTCAATTTTGGTATTTGAAGTTCGATATGGATACTACAGCCTATGGCAGAAAATTATCTGGGCAGGTCTACGTCTTCGTATAGCCCCCATATAACGGTATCTCCCTATATTCGGTATTTTGATGATTTTAGCGACATAATTCACCGAAATTGTTTCAAATTTGGTGTTTGAGATTCGTAATGAATACTACAGCCTATGACAGAAAATTGTCTGTGCAGGTCCAGGTCTTCGTATAGCTCACATATAACGGTACCTCCCAAAATTCGGTATTTTGATGACTTTAACGCCATTATTCACCGGAATTGTTTCAAATTACGTATTTAGAGTTCGTAATAGGAACTACAGTCTGTGACAGAAAAATGTCTATGCAGGTCCAGGTATTCGTATAGCCCCCATATAACGGTACCTCCTAAAATTCGGTATTTTGATGATTTTAGCGCCATTATTCACCGGAAGTGTTTCAAATTACGTATTTAGAGTTCGTAATAGGAACTACAGTCTGTGACAGAAAAATGTCTATGCAGGTCCAGGTCTTCGTATAGGCCCCATATATCAGTACTTCCCTATATTCGGTATTTTGACGAGTTTAGGTACAATACCCACTAAAATTGTTTGAAATATTGTATTTGACGTTAGTAATGGATGCTATAGCCTGTGACAGAAAATTGTCTATGCTGGTCCAGGTCTTCGCACAGCTCCGATATAATGGTACCTCCCTATATACGATATTTTGATGATTTTAGCCATATTATTCACCGTTTATTTCAAGTTTCGAATTTGAATGTGGTAATGGCTAATGGCAAATAATACCTATGTAGGTCCATGTCGTATAGACCCCAATATAACGGCAATATTCGGTATTTTTAAAATTTAACAGAATTTTTTAAGGATTATATTTTTTTAAATTTCCAAATTCGTTCCAAATGGTGGAGGGTATTCAAAGTTCGACCTGGCCGAAGTTACTGCTTGTATTTACTTGTATTTCTTTTTTAATTTTGAGGAACCGATAACTTTCCTTCCTCAATAGTTAATAAAAATATGAAAAAAATCAACCGAATTAATACTCTTTTCTTCTATTTTCAGGTCATCAATCTTCATACAATTGGAGTAACCTCAGAGTAAATTGAGAGAGGTGGCAGATATATTTAAAGGTAAGTAAAACATAATCTTAAAGTCAAATTCTTTTATGAAGATATTTTGGAATGTCGACTCTGAATAGATTCTGTTAATTTATATACACATACATTTTATATAAAGCCATAATTAGCTGGACGTTGGGCGCCACACAGGATGGAAAATCTTCTGCCAATAAATGGCTTTTATCGATCCACAAACTAGCCATACTATGTCACAGTGGTCCTATTTTTAGTCCTCCGTCTTTTCTACTCCTTTAAATTGGAAGGAACATTAAAATAGAAAATAGGACTATAGCCACGATGAACTGAGAGTCCTCTTATCAAAAAAAAAAAAAAAAAAAAAAAAATTGATTAGCACGAGTCCATATTTATTTTATATTCTGAAAAGTAATTTTGAAAACATTATATTTGTTGTTTTTAATAATATTTTTTTTATTTTTGAGTTATATTTTATTTCTTGAGTTATATTTTTTCCAGATTTAAAAGCTCATCTCAAAACCTTTCAAATCTAGGAAAACTAATTTTGAAAACGTTATATTTCCTATTTTTTAAAAATCCCTTTGATAACAATTTTTTTTTTAATTTTCTAGTTATTTTTCATTTTGTAAGGTTTTTGAAAAATTTTCTGGCAAAACTAATTTTGAAAACTTTTTTATTTCTCGAGCTTTCTCGGTTGAGTTTTTAAATCTGGGAAAAATATTTGCTTAAACTTTATATTTGCTATTTTTGAAATTCCTTTTGATAAAAGTATTTTTTTTTATATTTTTTATTTCTTGGGGTAAGTAAATACCTAGGGCGTATAAGTATTGTCAGAATGTAAAAGTCCTCTTATCAAAAAATAAACGTATTTCCTTGAGTCCATATTTTTTTCCTCTGTGAAAAGTAATTTTGAAATCTTTATATTCGTTTTTTATTTAATTCCCTTTTCATAATAGTATTTTTTATAACTTTTGAGTTATTTCTTATTTCTTGAGGTAGGTCGTATAAGTATTATTAATAGCTATAACCCTGCTGCGTATAATTATTGTCTGAACGTGTATTGTGTGTGTGAACACTCATATGCCGCCATATACCAGATATTTTAGCTTCTAGTTTCGGTTTAATTCCTTTTTTTGTCTCTCATAAAACGAAAATGGGTTTTTTGTTGTTGTTTTTTTTTTCTAAAACAGTTTTTACCTGTACACTTTTGGGGTTATTGTCTTTGTTGTTGTTATTGCTGCTGCTTTCTGACGTATGATTTGAAAATGGAAATTGTGTCCGAGATTCTTTGGTTTCAATTCCAATTTGGTGGGACACAATGAAAGCAGATTGATTTTGGTTATTGCGAGATTTTTTCAGAGAGAAAAAGAGAGAGAGTTTCTTAGATTTCTTCCCCCCTCCCCTCTCTCTCTCTCTCTCATATTTTGTTGCATGAAAATTGTGGCTATGGTCCTTTGGTTTCAATTCCAACATGTTGCGTTCCCAACTTTAGTTTTCGTATTCTCCCTTCCTCTCTCTCTCTTTCTCTTTCACTCTCTCTCTTACCATGAGTATTGTGTCTTAGCCTCTTTACTTACTATTATTTTATTTTAATTTTATTCCCTCAATTTTAGTTTTGAAGTTACCCTGCATTTTTTCCTCTGTCTCTTTCTCTCTCTCTCTCTTTGTTGCATGGAAATTACGGCTAAAGTCCTTTGCTTTCAATTCCAAATGTTTCTGACAAGAAAACATAACATTGTTCTCTTAGATCCAATTTTTGTGAGCATCTTTAACAGTTTCGTAAGTTTATCTCTCTCTCTCTCTTTCACTCTCTTACCATGAATATTGGGTTTCTGGCCCTTCATTAATTTTCTTTTCTTAATTTCCTTAATTCCCCTTAATTTTAATTTTAGTTAGAATTTTTGAGGGTACCCTACGTTTATTTTCTGTTGCTTCTTTTTATGTCTTTGTTGTGTGGTTAAGGTCCTGCCTTCAATTTGAAAATGTTCATGACAGGAAAATATAACATTGCTCTCTTAAATCACATTTTTGTGAGTATTTTAAAGATATTTTCTCCCACTCTCTCTATCCCCACTCTCTATCCACCATTCTCTCTTTCTTTGATTTTGTCCATGTGTTGTTTTGTTTTGTGGCGCAAAAAAAAGTCATCACACCAACAGTAATACCATCACAAATAACCATGCACACACACACACACACGCTCACAAAGAGACCTGTTTCATTTGTTGAATGCGAAAAGCTTTCTCAACAAAATTTCCTTTTGCCGAAGCATTTGACGAAAGCTAACGAACAAGTGTTCAGCAGAGGACCAGCATAAATTCAAATGAATTCCTCCTCAAAGCTTTCGTTGGCCAACCAGTTGGAATCCATCTACAGTCTAACGCAGTACATTTCTCTCCGAGATAGGCTCGTAAAGATATAGCGCGGTCGAAAAAAAATCACAAAAAATTAATTTTTTTGGTTAAAAAAAAACAGGAAAAAAGAAAAAAGGATATAAAACAAATTGAAAAAAATAAAAAATAAAAAATAAAAAGGATTTTATTTTCGTTAAGTGTGTGCGTGTAAAGTAAAGTAAAGAAAATCTATTTAAATAATGCCTTTGTGTGCGTGAGTGCATTTATGTAAATCTTACCACTTTTTCTCTGGCCTGGCCTGGCAGGGTAAAGGATTATTTTTCGCTGGCAAAACTATTGTTTCACACCCCCCATTTCAAAAATTCCTGGGTGTCAAGCTAAAGGCAAAATTACAAAAAAAAAAAAAGAAAAGGTGCATCGAACTGCATTCTGCTGGTGTCTGTGTGTATTGGTGTTCGTGGTGGTTTGTGGTCGTTTCGGTGATTTCGGTGAACTCACGATATTCGCTGTTGGTCGAAAAATATAGGTTAAAATAACTGTAAATATTGGCTTGTTGTCAGTTACAGTCAAAATCATATTCCAAACAAACAGACACACACACACATGCCCAATCGACATACACATATATGGTATTCATGTGTTGGTGGTCAAATGCAAAACTGTAAAAGGCACGAAAAATAAACAACAACAAGAGTTAAAATCATAAAAACCACCGCTGATTTCAATTCCATCAAAAGTGAACTGGCAGCCATTATCGTCGTTGTCCTCATCATCGTCATTTTTCGCCGGCGGTTCCAGCCATTGGGAAATAGTGTCTGTGTGTGTGTGAATTTTTTTTGTGGAAAATATTGAATGTAAATTTCGGGCCTAACTCTCAAACATCCTAAAACCAAAACATTTTTGCGGATTTTTTTGCGGTCGCCTCAGGTTGAATGCACGTCATTTGCCAGGGCCCGTGTCGATATTTAAATGAAGTGTGTGTGTGCCTAACGAGCCCCACCAAAAGTCAGCCAGCCAGCCTCAATTATTACAGTAACAAAAAATTGAAAATAACTCTAAATCATAATTCGAAAAGGTGTCTCGTGTTATATGCCCCGAGCAGGTAATGTTTCCTGTATGCAACGTGTCAACTTGTCGGAGATTCCATCATTAGTCCTCGAAATTGCAGTGCAGAATTGACAACAGAATCCGGTTTTAGAAGAGAGAAGTAAGAGCAGATATTATTTTTTTGAATTTAATTTAAATCGAAATATTGACTGGGACCCTGAGTCGTATTAACATATCTTAAAATCTATGCTGACAATTTATTAATTTTAATAAAAAAAAAAAAATAATTTGAAGACAAAATTCTGTTTTGGAAGAGAAAAATAAGGCAATCATAATTTCGGAATTTTATTAGAATCGAAAAAATTTAAATTTTCTAAAAAAAAGTTGACTGGGATTTGCTGGGAAAGGAATAAGGCTATCATAATTTTTAATTTAAATCGAACAAATTAATTTTTTTTAAATAATTATTGACAGGGCCATTGAGGCGTATGAGTATTTTTAATGAATGGTTCTATGGTGCGTATTGTTATTATTATTTTTCAAAAGAATATTTATAAATAAATTAAAAAAAATCGATTTAAAATTAGAAATTTGGGGGCTTAATTTAATTTCAAGTATAGAAGCAGCTAGGTATATTTTATACCCTCCACCATTCGGAAGTAACTTGAAAAATGTCAATAAAAAAAATCCGTCGAAAAATACCACCCAAATGAAAATTTTTATATGAAGGGTAATAAGAAGACGTGGTGCTGGATAAGTAATTTTCCGTTATAGGCTGTAGTAACGATTCCGAACTTCGAATACGAAATTTGACGCAATTCCGATAAATAATGAGAAGACGGGGATATAAGAAGACGTGGTGCTGGATAAGTATTTTTTTTGTGATTGGCTGTAGTTACGATTCCGAACTTCAAATACGAAATTTGACGCTATTCCGGTGAATAATGTCGGATATAAGAAGACGGGGATATAAGAAGACGTGGTGCTGGATAAGTAATTTTTTTGTCATAGGCTATAGTAACGATTCCGATTTTCAAATACGAAATCTGACGCAATTCCGGTGAATAATGTCGGATATTAGAAGACGGGGATATAAGAAGACGTAGAGCTGGATAAGTAATTTTTTGTGATTGGCTGTAGTTACGATTCCAAACTTCAAATACGAAATCTGACGCGATTCCAGTGAATAATGTCGGATATTAGAAGACGGGGATATAAGAAGACGTGATGCTGGATAAGTAATTTTTTGTGATAGGCTGTAGTAACGATTCCGAACTTCGAATACGAAATTTGACGCAATTCCGATAAATAATGTCGGATATACGAAGACGGGGATATAAGAAGACGTGGTGCTGGATAAGTAATTTTTTGTGATTGGTTGTAGTAACGATTCCGAACTTCAAATACGAAATTTGACGCAATTCCGGTGAATAATGTCACGAAAATCCTGGAAATGCCGAATATCTCGGGGTAGCATTATATAGGGGCTATACTGAATCGTAGACATATGTAGACAATTCTCTTCCACGGGGTAAAGTACAGAGTTAGATGCAACCAACAGATACAGATGCAACCAACTTCAGATTGCTGTCATTTCTAAGCCACTCGTTCGACAGCTTTTAAACTTATTCCAGT